GAGAGAGAGAGAGAGAGAGAGAGAGAGAGAGAGAGAGAGAGAGAGAGAAGCACGACTGTGCCAGACTGTTTCATTGAACTCTGTGTGTGAGTGTGAGAGACAGAGAGGGGGGGCAGGGCATGAGAGAGAGAGAGAGAGAGAGGGAATACTGGAACTCACCAGGCACAATGTGTTTCCGCTCTGGGCATAGAGTGCACTCGCTGCAACAACATTGTTTTTGTTTGGATCCTGTCCACAAATTCACAGCATACTTCCATTTAGAGCGGCAAATTCACAGAATTCTTGCACTTTGAAAGAATCGAATTCCGACAGCCAAGACACAAAGCAAAAAAAAGGAACAAGTCCAAAGACACTCAACATTGAAAGCGGGACAATTGGACAACTGTTTTCCTTTCTATTACAAAACATGTGAACCTCCAGGCAAGGAGGAAATACGAGATTATGAAGATATAAATGATTGTCCTCTTTTTTCTCCCATTCAGATGTGCCGAGAGTGTTCATATGATAATTTGTTCACCAAGCAATGCATTCTTGGCCCCGCTTAAGTTAATGGCAAGGTTCAACGGTGCACATCTAGTTTCTATGGAGCCAACGTTGTACCTCTTCAGCCCTCCGTCCTTACCTGCCTCCGTCCATTTCTCCATGCCGAAACCCCCGCCACCTCTCGCCTTTGATGCAATGCACAACAATTGTCCTACCCCTTCACCACTCCATCCTCCCCGTTCTTCCCTCTGTCCACTTCTACACTACAGCAGACCATCGACCTCTCGCCTTCGAAAGCGACGCAAACCAGTGTCTTCCTTGCTCCTTGCTCATCCCGCTCAGTCACTTCCTGCCTCGCTCCATCCCTCCATTCCTTCATCCCTGACTGCATGCCTTGCTCCTACACCCCTTTCCACCGTCTCCTACTAAGTGCAGGTGGTCGCTTTTTACGACGTGCTCGCGTGTGGAACCTGAAAGATAGGACACTGGGAGGGGGAGTACGTACCATTCCAGGGATGACGCCAATCTTCAAACTTGTCAAAAGCTCTTCAAAGGCGGCCATGGGCAATGGTTTTACGTTTCGTAGCTGCCACAATTAAAGCCAGCAGAACACATCCGAGTTTTTAGTTGCACGAGCTTCTGAATATGTGCACAAGGCTACGTTTCACAAAGTAAACCTCCTACGATGACCTCCTCCAAATGGTTTTCATGAAGTCCGCAGCTGAGGCACAACAGACACAAAAGACAGGTGGAACCTCTAGGAAGGGTCACACCACAACGGCTGCAGCGAAGTTAGATCACATTCACACACACCTCTCCCCCAGTGTAGGCCTCCGAGGAGTAACTCACTTTTAACACAATCAGCAAGTGTGTCCATTGAGGACTTCAACAAAAAGAACGTCCATTGAGGACTTCAACAAAATGCCCGAAAATGCCACAGCCCATGAGAGACAGAAGCATCCGCAAATGTCAGTTGCATTGGAATACTTGGGAATGTCATTGACAATTTGACATTAAAAATAGCTCTGAAGAATTCTGGACCGCCATCACTGAGCTGTAACAGGCAAGTACCACATACGTCATTCAATCGAATGTCTAATTCCGGTAGAATAATTTGACTTAACTGCTAATGATCTTGAATTCGTGATAACAAGGAGCGACTTATACACTGAGCTTCACCCTTCACTAACCATTTTGTGTTTTTCAAATGTCGGACTTTAAAAATGCTGTGTTAGGGCCAGTAGAAGAGGGCAATTGCGCATAGGTAGCATACGCTGTCATCAATGCACGCATGTCATTAGTAGAGCGGGGCAACCATGAACCTTCTTTCGTCAAATGTTTGTCGTCCGCAGTTCGGTGTATGAGCAACGACGTTCCTTCCATGAAGGCAATTGTATCCACAATATCTTTCTCCCCCTTTCGGTTGACATAACAATTTCTTCACTCCCCTCTTCAAATGGTAGTTTCAAACAGCTTCTCAAAACTCTGTGGGACAAGGCCGGTGAGGTTCATTACACTCACCACTTCCTGAAGCTTCAGTGGAGGTCCTGTTGCTGCATTCCATCTTGGCAAAAACTCCTTCATAGGCAGCTGCTGGGGTACCAAGAACTTACCGAGGACAACAGGCAACCGGAGCTTCACAGTAACCTGAGCAATTGAACGCACAAACACCGACATCAAGAAAGGGGCCAACATTTCAGTGGCAGTGTGCCGAGTGCTTCAAGCCACAAAAGGCGAAAGCAAGCTGCAGTTGGAAAACACACCGGTGTCTGCACAGCAAGCGAAAGCGAGAGCTGCCACAGAGGCGATGTTTCAGTGGCAGTGTACGGTGTTACATTGAGATGCTGCATCGGTACCAAAGCTCGAAATGCATTTGTGTCTGCGCCTGGTCAGGCCTCCCAGGAGAAGCCCGTTCAGGCCTCCTTTTCTAAGCCTAGGTAGAGGTAACTATTTAACGACCAGTACTTGGCCCATACATAGGCCGCAGGCCGTTGCCGTTAAAGCTACGCAAAGTTCGGGCTTCGGGGTACCGGACCTCAATGGCTGGAAATGCCAGCCAAAAAAAATCAAAACGGTACACTGGCGCTTCGGCAAAAATTGGCGCGCAGGGGGATTCCAGGCGCAGCAGCGATAGCTGGGCCAAGTACTGGTGGTTTAAGGACCCATCATGCCACACATCATGCCGGTTGTGGCATGGTCTGTCATCCCCTTCACAGGAATATTGGAATAAACTCCACAGAGTCAACATCTCCGCACTCATGCAGAGTGCAGCATCTTTTCCTCTGAGTCCCGCACTGAGTGCATAAAAGTTCTGCATATCTCTCTGCCCGTCTGCGTAACGCCAAAGCAAACCATTTTGAAAAGCAGCCTTCACGCCTTCATGGCCAACCCCTGTTCATCAGATTCTTTGTAGACACCTTGAGCAAAGCCAACACAGTGACAATGGAGGAGAGTGAAGGATGCCTATCGGTGGCCCTTTTACATCAGGTTGTTTAGCTCCATTTTCAGAAAGGCCAACAATGACACAGAACGGAAGAGAAAGGGCATTATACCTCATGGCCAACTCCTGTTCATCAGATTCTTTGTAGACACCTTGAGCAAAGCCAACACAGTGTCAATGGAGGAGAGTGAACGGCCAACAGTGACACACAACCGAGGAGACAGCAACGTACTTCATGGCCAAGACTTGTTCATTAGATTTGTGGACATCTTGAGAGAAGGCAAGAAAGACACTGGAGGAGAGAAAGCAATGTCCTTTGAGCATGCTTTGTAGGCCTACGATGACAAGGGGGGAGAGGGAGCAATGTACAGCAGCATCTTGGTGCGCTAGCACCTTTTAATCAGAAAAAGAAAAAGAGATGATACTAAGGAGCCACAGAAGCCAGCAGAGCACCACCAATGAGAATCCAAGAAGCACAGGTGAACGACTTTCCATTTCTCACAATCATTCTGCTAGCCCCAAATTCTCTGGAGCATTACCCTTCTCAACAATTGCAGAACTTATGCAGCAACATAAGATAACAGTGAACAAGACAAGGTGCCGAGAAAAGCAAAATCCAACGCAACCATTCAGAAACGTATATAATGTTTGGCACACAGGAGTGTCCCCGTATAGTGATTTCAAACCATGAGCCTTTGATACTAGGCCAGGGAAGGGAGGACTAAGAGAAGCCAGCAGCGAAGCGCTTAATAGGACAGACAAGGGACCGCAGAGCAGTTGGGCGATGAAGCCATGGAACTAGACTCCATATCCATGCCAAGATCTCCCATCTCCTGCTTGTTTCAGGCGAAGATGATGCTCACCATCTGTTGGCCGTTGCTGTAGCCGCAGTCAAGCGTTGGAACTTCCCGTGGTGGCTGAACACACAGTATGTCAATGGGTACTTGAATCTGAAATGAAGAGAACAATGAAAACCAACACCACGCACATCTATTTATGAGCCACTACAGTGTGGGCACTCTTTCACAGCCACCACGAACTAATGTTCAGATTATGTTCCCACACTGCCAAATGACTAGAGTCGTCGGACCACAATGTTCTTCCAACAGGTGGTGCCCAAACAGACCGCACCACAGACAAAGCCAACACAGCAGGAGATCAGTCCTGATCTCTCTAACTTCTTCAACTCCCCACCCTGCACCATCTGGGACATCCCCATCATCCCCTACACACTCCAGAACCCATTCGCTGTTTAGCCATGTGAACATTTCAAAAGGGTGCCGTTGTGATGGTCCCAACCCATGTTGACGCAATGTGATTTTCGCCCAGTTCTCTGAACGTCAAAGTGAAGGGATTCAACCAAGCATGGGTGAACAGCTAGAAACCATCCTTAAGGTAGCCAAATTCCTCGTCATCTACTTAGCGGCGAACATGAATGGATTAACAAGAATTTCAAACAAAAGAAAAAAGCTCACGAGGGTCCCCTGCACCCAGTTGAACCTGACCATGGTCTAAGGCTAACAACTGAGGGGCAGAGGCTGGGCAGTTGCATACCGGCAGTCCAAAAGGCCACACCTTTGCTGATGTACGTCATACAATGTCTTAAAATCAGCAATGCAGGTTATATTGCAGGCAAACCAATGTCTGCGATTCTTCCCAGTGCTATCACTCTTTCTTCTTCAATCAGCGAGTGTGCATTGGCACCTTTACACACGATTCACTCGCCGAACTCTCTCTCTCTCTCTCTCTCTCTCTCTCTCTCTCTCTCTCTCTCTCTCTCTGAGACGCACACACACACACACAAGCTCTGGCACATTCACTTCATGGCATCTTGCAAGTCTCAACAGGGTTTTCCATGCGGCCATACAGATCATAGAGCCTATGCATAGGTGCACTTAAACTCACAAAAGTCCCAGGACACCATTACCAGAAACCAAGGACATTCCTGAATGCAGTTACAAGGGCGAGGGCATTATAAACCTTAAGATCGCATGCTGCAGTCAATGCCATATGCTTTCACTGAAAGGGTGAAAGGGGGTGTTTATCACCTGCGCCCTGGGTGGGATGGCTTGTGGTGCCGGACTGGACTGCATTCGCAAGCCAGCAACTTGTCCTACAACGAGCTGGATATTTGTCAACGGCCCAGTATGCTTGTTGCCAAGGAAGAGAGCCATCTTTCCTTGGTGAGCGCGGTAGTCAGACTTCACACCAATCTGTTACAAAGCAGAGCAGAAAAGTGACAGCATACTTCAGGTAAGGCATTTGAATTGCAAAGTCAAATAGCGGAAAGCTGCTGTCGCATACGGGGTGGGGTCAACAGTGAAAGAATCTCAAACGAACGAAGAACCTCTTGCCTGCTCGCACAGACATCATTCTCCACCTTGAACGACTTCTCAAAACATCGATCTGATGTATATGTTATTCCCTCCATCAACAAAATTCATCAATCCACCAACCAACCTCTTGAAAAGCGTTTTAGTTCATTGAATCACGAACCATATCATCAACAAACTCTATCTATAATATATTAAAATTCATCAATAGCAATTTGGCCCCAATTTCAAAGACAGATAAAGCTGCTCACCTGCCAAATCCCGAACCTCAGTAGCTTGGCATTACACAAACAGACGACTTCTTCGTTCAAAAAGGACCCTACAAACATCTTCCATGAAAATCAATGCACCCTCATCATGACTGTATTGGACCAAAACAATTGTTTGTCTGCATTCATGATGAGAGTGAAGTCGTGCTTGACGGCAAACGGCAGGCTCCCTACCATCTCCACCCGAATAAATGCCCCGTCATTATCGCTGCATCTAGTCTGAAATTAGTCCCGAATGCAGCCGTAATGACCAGGCGTTCTGTTTGAGTGAAGACGGTAGGCTAGGTGGAGCAGATAGGATGAACGGCTGATGTTCAATGAAGGCTTTTAAGTAGAAAAGCCAGCAAATGTTTTTTTTCTGAACCTCTTCATACAGTGGCGCAGAGGTTAATCCTGTAACCCCCAACCTCATAATCCTGGAGAGGAACAAATGGAGAACTTCCCGATGCAAAAACTGTGTTTCTAGTCCGTAAAGGTTAGCTGAACCCGCGAAGCTGAAAGGTTGATGCGCAAAACACACAGCTCGAAAGCCATTCCATGCTCCTTGGAGCACGGATACCAGACGGGCAAAAAAAAAACAAGCCGCAGACACGCCACTAATGAAGTAATCGGTGCCATGCAAGCGGGCGACAACTTACGAAGGCTTCACATAGGCAGGCAGACCACACTACATACAAATAATGGCCGCTGCAAGTCTTGCCCGTACAGATGGTTCAACGTCCCTCGAACAGAGGCACACAACAAGAGAGGGACTACACAAATGCATTACAAAGTCCCCACCAGGAGTCCCCTCATACCTACTTGCTAGATTGAAGCTCAGAAGCATATCACCACTCATGTGGACAACGAGCTAGACAAGTGAAAGGCACACCTGAAGTGAAATTCATGTATCACCTGAAGCAAGTGCCTCGGACATACAGATAAGATTAGCATGGCCCCTGCACGAAGATGATACATCTATAATTACAAAAAAAAAGAAAGAGAAAAAGAAAGGTCCTCATGAAGGAGTGCAGAACCATTTTACCACTCATGCAGTGATCAAGCTACATAAGCGAAGAGCACAGCTGAGGTGAGGTTCATATGTCACCTGAAGGAAGGGATCTTCATAAAGGATCCCATTGGGGCCAACTGATAATTTCCTGAACCATTCTGCAATGCTTCCAGTCGGCTGATCGCACAAGAAACGAGCACAGATGCATACACATACAAATCAGTTCCCCACAGAGTTTGACGTCAGCCAGTGTACCAATCACCATCATAACATCAAACGACAAACGGAGTTTGACACGGGCCGGTGTACCAACCAAGTACACCATTAAAGGCCGGAGCTCTGCTAAGAAGAAGACAGATCAACCACTAGATACAAGACAAAGTGTGAAATGTCACTTCGACAAACACACACTAAGCGCAGGACATCCAAGAATACCTCAACCTCCACAATAAGGCAAAACCAACGGTTGAGACAAGCACCAAACTACTCACTGCCTGACAGCCTAGAATACATCAACTTCACACATCTTCTCTCCTCTGCTCTACCTCTGTCTCCTTCTCGTCAGAATCCGAACTCCCGTCCAAAAGCACTAGCTTATCTTCGAAGCTGAGAATGCAAAACCTGAGTGCAGAGTGCCTGACAACCAACAGCAAATTAACCTCTCAGGACATCTCTCTCTTCAACACTTCATGTGTCCTTGCCTTGCTCATTGTTGTCGAGTACACAAAAGTGGCATGGCGAACGACTCTGTCAACCCTCTCGCCATCACCCTTTCCCGAACGAGAAAGGAAAAGGATTTCAAGTACCACTTAATGGTTTTGTCCCTTTTGCTCTCTTGTCCTCATTACATCCTGTTGCACATAGGTGTCGTTCCTTACCATGCTCTCTCTCTCTCTCTCTCTCTCTCACACACACACACACACACACACACACACACACACAGAAGCTCACGGTTCTGGCTCCGTGTCCATTCTGGGGAGCATCATCTGGTTCCTATTCCCCCAGCAAGTCAAAACGAGTACCAAAGTTTCTTTTTCGTCAACATGTAAGATTAGCACGCTCAACCCCGCCCCCGCCCCCCCCCACCAACCCCGACCCCCAAGCTGGCGACCTCTGTGTCATAACCTGATAGAAGTCGGGAGAGTGGACTCTGAACTGTCCTGCTGAACACTTACAGGCTACGTTGCGCTTCTTTGGTGGGAGTCAACGAGGGGATAGAATTGGCACCATGTTCATAAACACTAGTGCAACAAACTGGAAAGAACTAGGAGGTGTGCATACAGCAACTCCCCATCAACCGGCAACCTTTCCAGGTATAGAGAGCATAACAGAGGAGGAATGCCTGGCAATCAATTATATCAGGAATGCAGTACATTGATCAACATCCAAATGATACACTGAGAATTATCAGGCCCCTGCACAATGAGGAAAGTAGATTCTTTTAAGAAAAAAGGAGGACGACGAGGACAAGAAGCGAATAAAAAAACAGGGAGGAAGAGGAAGGGGAGTGGGGGGAGGGGGGTATAAAGGAATCCAGTACGCATTGAGTACACACCTGAACAGGTTGAGGAGGTTCATAAATTGCAAGAGCAAATGGATCTACAGGAGCTGGAGCAGCAGGTGCTACTGCTGGGGGAGGAGAGGTAGATTCAACAGGTGCTGCTTCTATTGCTGGAGTTCCCATCAAGTCCAGCAAATCCACAGCACCCGTCGAAGGCGGGGGTGCACTTGTGGTTCTCGCAGGAGGACCGTTCAATTCATACTGATCCTGCAAACAATCACAAACAAAAGGGCTTCAATGGCTCCGCTGCAAAAGGTCACCAAACCGGAAGTATAGATGCCAACATGGGTCCGCCTTTACCTGGCACCACAATGGATCTCCTTCGAACACACAACTGTTCCATGCAAGCTCGACAAACTGGTATCCTTACTAACTCTGTCCCTGGAAACAAATAAGCAAACATAACTTCCGTGGCCAAAAAAAACAAGAGCAAACGTAACCCAACGGATGAAAGGTATTCAAAAGCAATAGCAACACACACTTCAACGATTAGGTACACTTAAACACACATTCTTTTCTCTCTTCAGTCTCAACTGCCTGAAATGCCTTTTACCTTACTGCCAGCAAAGGCTTCAACTATCCCATCCCAGACTACATGAAGCAGGTTGGATAAAATCTGTTGCACTGCAATGACAAACCCGACCGTAGTCCCAGTATAGTACACAGTTAAGAACTCTGTTTAATCTGGAGCCTGTGCCCACTCTGACACACAGTTGAGCACTTAGCATAGCTCACTCACACAAGATTCAAATCTCACTTCCTTTACTTCAAATTTGAATTGAATAGCTTAGTTGTTCCTGATGCAGTTTGTGCAGAGTTGGGCAAAATCTCTTTCAGTAGTGGGGATGGGACACACAGGTACGCTCTGGCAGCAACTGGAAAGAAAACAATAACAGGAAACTCTGCGGCCAAACACCAGGCCAAAAGCGCCTTGCGTACAAGGTTTGTTATGAACAAGAGAAACCAGCGAATCGACCGCAGACAGACATGTCAGGTACAAAAACAGCCTATGGAAGATTGGGGAGTCACTCACCATTGATCGTTGCCGACCGGCAGGATATCCTCCATTGGGGACAGCTGCAGGTCTTTGCTCTGATATAACAATTGCAGTGGATGGCTGCTGGCTTCTGAGACGAACTGCTGCACTCATATCGGCAGTGTCCTCCACATCCTCTGCCTTCTTCAGAAGAGCCGACTGTCGAATAACACAAGCACAACCAAGCACAGAGATGAGTTCTCAAATCCCTAGATCTGCAGATGGGGAAAAGCAACAAGAATAAGAGGAAGCCACAAGTAGAGACACAAACCATCATCCTCCTACCCCTACCTTTTTCATGCTAATACAACATATGGACACTATTGCTGTATTTAGCCTAAAAGGTGGGCCCCAAAATAGCTATAATGACTGTACATTGTATTCAAGTGAAAAAAGGGAAGAAAACCAGCTGTATTCCTCTGAAGAGTTGTTAGCAGCTGCCAACCCTCACAAAGACCTCAGAGAGATGCAGCTAATAACCCCCGCAACATATAGCCGCTTCACAACCCGCTCCTGACCCTCCACCAAATTCTAAGACCTGAATGGACAGCTCTATCCCCCATATGGACTCGCAATTATCTGAGCACTTGCACTCTCCAATGTCTCCATTGTTCTCTCCCACGGGAACAAACAATTATTTCTCTCATTTGGGCATTTGCTCTCTCCAAAGACCCGGTCGTCCCAAAACCTAAAAGAATTTTGCACTGAATGCTTTCCTTCATTCAGTAGTTCTGTGCCCTATTCTCCTCACAAAACAAAGTGAGGTTAGTTTATAAAGTTTGCACCTATTTGTGTGTATTTGGTCACTAGTTTACTACTTTGATCTTAATTGGCCTTTCTTTCTTACTTGCTTCATCCAGCCTAAATTATCCGGAAAAACTGCCAGCTTACAGATGAAACATTTTCAAACATGACGCCAGAGGGATTACATGAGACTTTCCAACAGTGCAGGTTCGAACACTCTCCCCCCCCCCTGGCCCCCCACCTCCACCCCCCTCAAGTTTTCAGATATGAAAAGGTGCCAGTATCCATCATGTACCTCTCTCTCTGGGAACTTGGGCATTTCCGCAAGTATGTCAGCCATGGTGTGTCCTCGCCTGCCGAGAGCTAGATACTCCACAGCCCTCTGCTGCACTTCGGCATCCACAAACCGCTGATACCTGGATTGCCCACAAGGACAGAAACAGCATACATAGATCAGATGACAGTCCACCTAAGACTGCCGTCTTCACCCAAATATAACCCCTGGTCATTATAGCTGTATCTGGACTGAAAATTGCACCAAATACGGCTATAATGACAGTGAATTGTATTCAGGTGAAGACCGTAGCAGAGACGCACAGAGATGATAAGAACACGACCAAATTTCAATAACCTTTTTTCCTTCTTTTCACGAAAAACTGGTCCTCTCATCGTTTTCAACAGGGTACCCTCTTACATAGTTAACACCTTTATCGCACGACCAAATTCCCATACGCACAACCTTTCCTAACTGGGAATTCTGCGTGCATTAGGCTGTCACACCAACCACACGGGGACATATCGCATCCACCACACAGGGAACAAGGTCTAACAATCAAAATGACTTTTTCTGGGTTCAAGAAAGATTACAATGCCTTGTATAATCATTATGCTAGCAGGACTGAATCCAGCATCGAGCAGCACCCTGTTGTATGTTCATTGAAATGGAATGAGGTTTAGTGAAAATTCAACTGCAGCCAAGGCACGGAATAAGCACAAAGAAATTGCATGAATACAAGGAGCCGCTGTGTACTGTTCCATCTGTGATCTGTGCAAATCATCTATCTTCTTGAACGCACGTTCCCGGGCCAACGAGAGAGCAACCAGGGTGAGAGCTCTGTGCAGTGCGAAATTCGGAACAAAAAGGATGAACCGACTTGCCAGTTTTGTGTTGAAGCCATGAAGACGGGGCGGGGTTTTGATGGGTGCATTCGAGTGAACTTACTGCCTGAAGACTGCAAATACTTGCTCAACCAGCTCACGATCAGGATTTGTGGTATGCATGAGAAGTTTCACATACGATGATAGAAGCAGTGCCTTCGTTGTTGTCCTACACATACAAAGACAGAGAGACTGCATCAAGTCAGAACTGCTCTATCGGTTTTAGGTGACCCACGGTACCACATCATATTTGCACTGCAGCGAAGCGCATTAAGCTTGAATGACACCAACCATCCCATCGGCAGTCCACTGTCCCGAATCAGATAATCAGCAGACATGTCCCCCTGCCCTGCCCTCAAAGAACCCCCAAATCAAGTCATGATTAAAAGGACGACCAACCGCAGTAGTTCCCCAGCTAAGTTGGGATAGCGGGGTGATATCAACAAGCTGTTACAGCCACACCTTGCATAAGCAGGGCTGTAGTAGTGAAGACTAGCCGGATTGGAAGAGGTGTAGGCAGGGCTGTAGTCGTGAAAGCGGTATAAGAAGAAGAGTAGCTGGATTCAAAGAGGCGAAAGCAGGGCCGTAGAGGTGGAAAGGAAGGCGGTCATGGTGTGTGGTGGGTGGAGGGAGAGGGGAGGGGAGGGGATGTGGGAAAAGGGCAATGAAATTCTGCTTTTTGACTCCAACAAAATAAGAACAACGAATTGAGAAATTCTTGGCAAAAGAAAACTTACGATACTGTCGAAAACTTCTCATGTATAGCACCGAAAATCTCCTTAGGGCTGCAACCAGGTTGCCTTGCAAGCAAGTGCCCAAACTCGCCAAGCAAGTAGCCGCTTGCCTAAGCCAGAACAAATGAACAGCACGTAACGTGTCACATACTGATAAACCAAAAATGAATTTGTCAAACAAATGTACAACATCTAGCAGAAAGGAAAGGATGGAATGTCAGGACACGGAAATGGACAGAAGCCGCACACACTGGAAAGATGGGAAGCAAGAAGAAGGAAAAAGATAAACTGCGCATGCATATTGTCACAGACTTGACAAACCAAGAACATGCTTGCGAAAGAAATCACGGAAGTCAACAAAAATGGAATACTGTTAAAAAAAAAAAAAAAACCCTTAATGTCCGGCTCCTTGTTCATTCTGGGGGGGCATCAGTCTGGTTCCTATTCCACTGGCAAGTCGCACAACTTAACAATGAATACACACTCCAACGCTTCTCCCCATTATGGTCAAGAGATCCGAGTTTATATTACTTCTTCCTTCTTTTTGCTTCTGGAGCAAGCCTATCAGGTTTCTGTCTTAGTTGAGACACAGAAACATTCGCACACCTGATCAGCTATAAAAGCGCAATAGCTGTCAAAATATTTCCAGCTGCTGGTTGGTGGGAAAGAGAAGTATGGGATATGTTTGGTGTGTATTTTTCCAACCATCCTGATTTACATAGTATATTAACAGATTATGGTTTAGAGGGTCATGGAAGCTGGCCAGTGCAGTGGGGTCAAATGACAAACTAACAACTACCGTATCGCCTTCCCCCCAGCATAACACATGCATTGTATTCGAGTTTCCCCAAAAAGATCCATGATTCGAATAGAACACAAGTATTGTATTCAAATTAAGGGCTGTTTGAATAGAATACGTATGTGTTGTATTCCAATAGAAAGCAACCTATGTGTTGCATTCCTTTGCAACACATGCATTCCGCTTGGGGACGACGGTAGCACCAGAAATGCAGGGCAAACGTATGTGTTGTATTCGAATAGAAAGCAACCTGTGTTGATTAGAGAGCAGAGACAAGGGTTAGAACCTAGGAGAGTGGGCAAGCTCGATAATGACAAATGATGAGGATGATGACAGGGCAAACACAACTCAGAATCTAGAGATGCAACAATTACTGTTTCAAGTGGAATGTATAACACCCATAAGACTGGCAATAGTGTGCAAACAATCACTAGATCTTGAAACAACAAACAACAGGCTGATTACAGGCCAGGACCAAATAACAAACATATCGCGTCAATGAGCTAAAATGTGGCTAAGAAACTATTAGACAGCCAGAAGAGGTGATATTGTTCTCAGAGTCCCAGACAGAGAGCAGGAGAGGGATGAGAAGGAGTGACTTCATCGTCCAATCCAGTCTCCACCACTGTTTGGACGTCTTTTTTCCAGTCTCTTCCTGAGGGACCCCATCAGGACCAACTGAGGTGGTCTGTTACCTTCACCAAATAGCAGACTCCAGTTTCCGTGGGGGACACACCTTCAAAAGAACAGGTTCGCTATACTATTCAGTCAAGGACAGCTCATAAACAAGAAAAGAAAAACAATAGCCAGCAGAATTCAGCTAACAGCTGCTTGTTCATTCTACTATTCATCGAAAGGCTATTTGGAAACAGCTGAGCCATAGCCAGTAGATTACAGGTGACAGCTGCCCTGGCCGTGCCCGGGCTTTTAAACCACCAGTGCTTCCCGGAAAATTGGGCCAAGCCCTCCAGACAGGAAGAGAAACTGCGGCTGTGCGCTCGTCCATCGGACCAACCGAAAAATGGAAGGCCTCCGTGTAAGCAGGGAATCGGAATGGACAAAAAGAGGGTGGCATAACAAATTCTAACAGGTCAAGGCACTGACCAGCAAGGCACAAAGTAAAACTCGACAAAGACCAAATGGTATCCCACCTTCACCATTGTTTCATGGACAGCTGGCTTTGCGATGTACATCAAGGCCTGACCTGCTGCATATGGCTGCACCAAGGACGAAGAACCACAAACAAGAGTGCCAACGCCGTAAGTTGTTCGCCATGAGTACCATTGTGCCGTGCCCAATGCCATATCAAGATGTTGTGGTGGGTGAATTATTTGCATTATGGTGAAGTACATCCCAGTGAAGCTGAGTGAACTATATCTATGTCTACCATCTTCTACGAACACAAGGCACCCTCATCATCTATGTCTACCATCTTCTACGAACACAATGCACCCTCATCATGAGCTTATAGGATCGGAATGGTAGCTCTTTGTGTTGAGGGTGCATTGTGTTCAGGGATACGTTTTCAAAATGCGATCTGCAGTTGACTCTTACTGTCTCTTGGTGATCGCAAAAAAAAAATTAGAAAGATGTAGACAGTCCAGGAGGCCCTTTCCCTAACTATGGGAAGAGCATCTTGTCAGACACGTGCTCTGCTTGGCGTTCCAGCAAAAAATTAAAAATGACGCATCTCAAACAGCATCCTTGAGATGCAACTGCTCTTGGCGATCGCCAAATTTTCTAGAAAGATGTAGACATAGTCCAGCAGGCCCTTTCCCTAATAACTATGGATAAAGCATCTTGTCAGACACTTGCTCTGCTTGGCGTTCCAGCAAAATAAAAAAATGACGCCGCTCAAACGGCTTCCGTGAGACAACTTTTGCCGAGGAAAAGGGTGACGGAATTCACACGGGGATTGTTGCGTCATACATGACCTTATTACTTGTTCACAAGGTACAAAAGGGTGAATAATAACGGACAGATCCCTCTGTTCTCACCTGCAAATCATCATTATTTGTCACAAACTGCACTACACGATACCAGATGTCATCACTGACAAAATCGCCTGCCTTCTCAATAAGCTGAAGTATTACATCAACATACCTGCAAACGAACAGCCACAAAAAGAATTACCCGTGAGTAGTTCTTCTTTTAAGCGAGTGCCATAGCATTAGAAGCAAAAACAAGGCAACCTTTAGATGCCGATGCCCACAGAAGAGTAGGTCGCATGAGAGTTTACATCGTGTTCATTGGGAACATCTGTGAAAATTGGAACGATACATTATTAGCATGGTCCCTAAGTGGTGCATCCGTTGGGACATCGGTTAGAATTCAAACGATACAGAAGGATTTTGCCAACCCCAGTCCAGCCATCAGACCGACCAAAAAACAAAAAGACGAGCAGATTTTCTGTCCACCGTGCCCCCCCCCCCTGGGCCCAACCGGTTCCTTGTGTCTCATTCCAGACAGCAGCACGCGAGAACCTTTGTTCATTCTAATTGAGTGAGGGATTGAAAAAAAAAAGACAAAAAATTGAAAAAAATGATAATCATCGTCAGTTACTTGGGTCTCGTTCGGGACAGCCTCACACGAGACCCTTTGTTCCATGAACCTCCTCAAACTTTGCATCCAAGTCTGTTTGTATTCCAATTACCATTGACATCACCATCAATATAGATACCTTGACAAACATTATTCCTATTTTGAACCTCCCCCAAAGTGTCGTTCTTGCCCGCCCCCGGCCTTTGAACCTCCCCCAAAGTGTTGTTCTTGCCCGCCCCCCGCCCCTACCGAAGTGTTGTTCTTGCCAACTGGCAGAACCGCAAATGTGAAACGATTGTGCAATCTACCTCGTGCCTGGCACCTGTTCCCCACCGTCCGTCGAAAAATCCAGGCAAGCCAGTTAGACCATGAAAAGGACTCGTCGAAAAAGCAAATACAGGAGGTCTCCATATCCGAACCAACGAGACACAATGCACATAACATAATGTTTTAAACAGGCGATTGACAAGAGATAATCGATAGATATGCCAGCTACCACCAAGAAATAGAATCTGTTCGATGCCATGTCTACCACCCCCACTGCTTCCCCCTTTTTATCTGTAGCAACCCTCCAATCATACACACCTAGAGAAGTGGCATCCTATCGCTCTCCAAAGACATACCCTCAAAGAACATATTTTCAGATACAGCGAATGAAGACCCCTTCCTATCACGGCCAGAACACACATGGCCCTCCGCATATCCAGGCAGGTACAGCTCATGTGCTTGGCCATCTGCCTATGCCGGCGCATGCTTACAAGGGCACTTTTTTGCATTTGCAAATGGCATACTATCATTCTCCAAAGACATACCCTCAAAGAACATATTTTCAGATACAGCGGATGAAGACTCCTTTCTATCACGGCCAGAACAGCTCATGTGCTTGGCCATCTGCCTATGCTGGCACATCCTTACAAGGCCACTTCTTTGCATTTGCAAATCTCCGTAGGCGGTTTATGCACTTCTTGGAGAAAAACAGCTCATGTGCTTATGCCGGCGCATGCTTACAAGGGCACTATTTTGCATTTGCAAATCTCCGTAGGCCATTTATGCACTTCATCTTGGACAAGAAGAAGGCAATCAACGTCATACCTGTCCAAGCACAGGCATATTTCTGTCTCTTATACACATCTAGATGTGTATAAGAGACAGTACCAAGACAGGTCAGGTGCGAACTTTTCAGCAAGGATGGCCGCCTTAAGAGCAAGCTCCTCTCTAATTGCAAAGTCAGCAGATCCAAGGTACTG